TTCTCTGGTTTCATTTGTCGATATTTCTTTGAAACGGGGGGGCATCTTCTGTCTTGTTTTGGGTGGTAAGATCAAACATTGGTGATCGGAACGTCCGATAGGTGGAATGTGAAGAACTTCGTCATACAGATCCGACATAATCCACGCATAAGACAGCACTGTCATATAAAATCTCTTAGGCACTGCAGCACTTTGAGACCGATACAAGTGAATAAAACTGCCCCGAGTCAACCACGCTTAATTCCATGTTGCTCAGTGTTGAACGCCAGATCTATTGCTAAACCTGATGCTTTTCCTGCTTTGTGCGCAGACATTAAGTGCAATAACATAGATGTTTGTTGTATAACCGAAACATGGCTCAAACCGACTATACCTAGCTCCCTCCTTTTGTCCTCCCAATTTTTCCATCATTAGAGAGGATAGAACAAACTGTCGAGGAGGAGGTGTCGCGATCTTATGCAGGAATGATTGGAGAATGCAGCTACTACCTGATTTGGATTATCCATTCGAATGTTTATGGACAAAAATTATTACACAAAACTCTGAATTCTTTGTTGCAACTATTTACCACCCACCTGACTATGAGTATAATGAGCAAGACCTTATCGAATTCCTTATTGACTCGTGCGAACAACTATTGTTATCTAAACCGAATTCAAATATAATAATTGCTGGTGACATTAACAATTTAAATATTCGATCTGTTCTTAATCAACTTCCATTTACCCAACTCGTTAAGACCCCTACGAGAGGACTAAAAATATTAGATGTCTTTATTACAAATGTCCCAAACTATTGGAAATCTGTTAAAGTTGTAAAAAGCTTGGTGAGATCCGACCATGATATGGTTATCACATACCCCCGAAACATAGTTAAAGCAATAAGGACAAATTCCTATTTCAGAGATGTGAGACAACATCATCAATTGAATATGCTTCGTGAACTTGAATCTATTGATTGGAACACGATAATTATGAATAGTCATAACCTAGATGAGAAAACCCTAAAATATTATGAAATAATATGGCCAAAATTCGACAAGAGCTTCCCATTAATTAAGGTCAGAACGTCATCACGCGACCCTCCGTTCATGTCTTCTCTTGTGAACCACCTTCTGAATCAAAGGAAAAGAGCCATAAGAAACGGGAATACTGAAGCAAATACACGATTGCAAGAAAAAATCAACAAGTTAATTCGGGAAAATCAATTAAGTGCAGTCAAACAGGAGTTTGGCAACCAGAAAACTGGATCGAAAAGTTGGTGGTCTAACGTAAATAGCATTACCTCGAGAAAAAAGAAACATGATGTATCTGTAAGTGCTTCTCTTAACCCTAGTGAAATTAACAAATATTTTCAAAGTGTGAATACAGACCCATATTATACGACTCCCGAGCCTCTTCAAATCTCTGAAGGAACAAGAATTCCTTCGTTGTCAATTCATGAAGTTCAACATCTTTTACTGAATCAAAAACGCTCTTCATCGGGTCCGGACAATCTGCCATATTGGTTTTGGAAATCGTTTGCTATTGAATTAGCTCCTATTGTCACAGAAATTTTTAACATGTCACTAAAAACCAGCAAAGTACCTCAGAAATGGAAATCCGCTAATTTATTACCACTCCCTAAAGAATCACCATTAAATTCGTGCAACCAGTTAAGACCAATCTCTCTGACGGACATCATCATGAGACTATTCGAGAAGTGCGTGTATAAATCTGAAATCGAACCTATCACAAGAAATAACATTGGTCCTGACCAATTTGCTTATAAAAAGGGTCACAACTCGACTATGGCTCTGATTAAATCCCAACATCAATGGCTAGAGTGGCTGGATAAAAACGCTAATTATGTTAGAGTGCTGTCGTTCGATTTCAGCAAAGCATTTGACAGTGTGCCCCACGATCTTTTGTTTGAAAAAGTTAAAAAGCTACCCATTAATCCGTATGTGGTGAACTGGTTAATTAGCTTTCTAGAAAATAGAATACAAAGAGTAATGGTTGATGGAATGGTTACAGAATATTTATATATTAATCGTGGTGTCCCTCAAGGTACTGTTTTAGGCCCAGTTCTTTTCTCAATAATGGTTGATGATATTAAAACTGCTGATCCTAGTAATGCGTTAGTCAAATTTGCTGACGATTTGACGTTAGGAGTGCCTGGTAACGAAAGTGGTGACACATCTCGATCTGAAGCTGCCTGTTTACAGGATTGGGCGGAAGAGAATAGAATGCCCTTAAACTTGGAAAAAACGTACGAAATGGTTGTTCGCAGACACACCTCTGTAGTTTTGCCTGAGCTTATCCCTTCAATTAAGCGAAAAACATGGCTAAAGCTTTTAGGAGTTACTCTACAAGATAATCCGTGCAACTGGGATTTGCACTTCGAAGAAATGCTCAAAAGAGCAAGCGGAAGATGTACATTATGAGAGTTTGCAAATACTATGGACTATCAATGAAACAATTAGATCTGCTGTTTGATAGCCTAATTATGTCGATATTCACTTTTGCTATTGAGCTGTGGGGTTGTGCATATGACGGTAAATATTTGAACCAAATAGATAAATTCATTAAACGTGCACATAAGAATGGTTATATATCAAAACGAACACACATTAAAGAAATACGTGATAAGAGAGATAAGAAACTGTGGAACAAAATAACATCAACTGAGGACAATGCATTGCTTGAACTGCTGCCGGAAAAAAGAAGTAGGTTACTTAGGCCTAGAGGGCATGAGTATGAACTCCCCCTAGTGAGAACAGAAAGATTCAAAAGGTCGTTCATAAATCGTTGTCTGTATAACTTTGTTTAGACTTTAATCTATTAAAAACTTTTTAAAACTTTTTACGCTTCTTAACTTACAATTGTAAATATAACTAGATCAATTACCTTTCGATTGTAAACTCAGACGGATGTATCTGAGTATTTTAATAAAGACTATTATTATTATTATTATTATTATTATTATTATTATTATTATTATTATTATTATTATGAAGAACCATGTCCTCAGCGTGAGTAACCTTGTCCTCAGGGTGAGGTACCTTGTCCTCATTGTGAGGTACCTTCTCCTCAGTGTGAGGTAGCTTGTCCTCAGCTTGAGGAACCTTGTCCTCAGCGTGAGGAACCTCGTCCCCCGCTTGAGGAACCTTGTCCTAAGCGTGAGGAACCTTGTACTCAGCGTGAGGAACCTTGTCCTTTGCGTGAGGTACCTTCTCCTCAATCTGAGGTACCTTGTCCTCAGCTTGAGGAACCTTGTCCTCAGCGTGATGTACCTTGTCCTCAGCGTGAGGATCCTTGTCCTCAGCGGGAGGAACCTTCTCCTCAGCTTGAGGAACCTTGTCCTCAGCGTGAGGAACCTTGTCCTCAGTGTGAGGGAGCTTGTCGTAAGTGTGAGCTACCTTGTCCTAAGCGTGAGGAACCTTGTCCTCAGCGTGAGGAACCTTGTGCTCAGCGTAAGGAACCTTCTCCTCAAGGTGAGGAACATTGTCCTCAGTGTGAGGAAGCTTGTCCTCAGTGTGAGGTGCCTTGTCCTCAACGAGAGGAACCTTTTCCTTAGTGTGAGGTACCTTGTCCTCAGCGTGAGGAACCTTGTCCTCAGCGTGAGGAACCTTGTCCTCAGCGTGAGGAACCTTGTCCTCAGCGTGAGGAACCTTTTCCTCAGCGTGAGGAACCCTGTCCTCAGCATGAGGAACCTTGTCCTCAGCGTGAAGAATCTTGTCCTCAGCGTGAGGAACCTTGTCCTCAGCGTGAGGAACCTTTTCCTCAGCGTATGGAACCTTTTCCTTAGTGTGAGGTACATTGTCCTCAGTGTGAGGTAGCTTGTCCTCAGCGTGAGGAATCTTGTCCTCACCATGAGGAACCTTGTCCTCAGCGTGAGGAACCTTGTCCTCAGCGTGAGGAACCTTGTCCTCAGTGTGAGGTACCTTGAACTCAGTGTGAGGTACCTTGTCCTCAGCGTGAGGAACCTTGTCCTCAGTGTGAGGAACCTTGTCCTCAGCGTGAGGATCCTTGTCCTCAGCGTGAGGAACCTTCTCCTCAGCTTGAGGAACCTTGTCCTCAGCGTGAGGAACCTTGTCCTCAGTGTGAGGGAGCTTGTCGTAAGTGTGAGCTACCTTGTCCTAAGCGTGAGGAACCTTGTCCTCAGCGTGAGGAACCTTGTGCTCAGCGTAAGGAACCTTCTCCTCAAGGTGAGGAACATTGTCCTCAGTGTGAGGAAGCTTGTCCTCAGTGTGAGGTGCCTTGTCCTCAACGAGAGGAACCTTTTCCTTAGTGTGAGGTACCTTGTCCTCAGCGTGAGGAACCTTGTCCTCAGCGTGAGGAACCGCGTCCTCAGTGTGTGGTACCTTGTCCTCAATGTGAGGTACCTTGTCCTCGGCGTGAGGAACCTTGTCCTCAGTGTGAGGTACCTTGTCCTCAGCGTGAGGAACCTTTTCCTCAGCGTGAGGAACCTTGTCCTCAGTGTGAGGTACCTTCTCCTCAGCATGAAGAACCTGGTCCTCAGCGTGAGTAACCTTGTCCTCAGTGTGAGGTACCTTGTCCTCTGTGTGTGGTACCTTGTCCTCCGTGTGACGTACCTTGTCCTCAGCGTGAGCTACCTTGTCCTCAGTGTGAGGTACCTTGTCCTCAGCATAAGAAACCTTCTCCGCAGCGTGAAGAACCTTGTCCTCAGAGTGACGAACCTTGTCCTCAGCGTGAGGAACCTCGTCCTCAGTGTGTGGTACCTTGTCCTCAATGTGAGGTACCTTGTCCTCGGCGTGAGGAACCTGGTCCTCAGTGTGAGGTACCTTGTCCTCAGCATGAAGAACCATGTCCTCAGCGTGAGTAACCTTGTCCTCAGGGTGAGGTACCTTGTCCTCATTGTGAGGTACCTTCTCCTCAGTGTGAGGTAGCTTGTGCTCAGCTTGAGGAACCTTGTCCTCAGCGTGAGGAACCTCGTCCCCCGCTTGAGGAACCTTGTCCTAAGCGTGAGGAACCTTGTCCTCAGCGTGAGGAACCTTGTCCTTTGCGTGAGGTACCTTGTCCTCAATCTGAGGTACCTTGTCCTCAGCTTGAGGAACCTTGTCCTCAGCGTGATGTACCTTGTCCTCAGCGTGAGGATCCTTGTCCTCAGCGTGAGGAACCTTCTCTCAGCTTGAGAAACCTTGTCCTCAGCGTGAGGAACCTTGTCCTCAGTGTGAGGGAGCTTGTCGTAAGTGTGAGCTACCTTGTCCTAAGCGTGAGGAACCTTGTCCTCAGCGTGAGGAACCTTGTGCTCAGCGTAAGGAACCTTCTCCTCAACGTGAGGAACATTGTCCTCAGTGAGGAAGCTTGTCCTCAGTGTGAGGTGCCTTGCCCTCAACGAGAGGAACCTTTTCCTTAGTGTGAGGTACCTTGTCCTCAGCGTGAGGAACCTTGTCCTCAGCGTGAGGAACCTTGTCCTCAGCGTTAGGAACCTTGTCCTCAGCATGAGGAACCTTGTCCTAAGCGTAAGGAACCTTGTCCGCCGCGTGAGGAATCTTCTCCTCAGCGTGAGGAACCTTGCCCTCAGCGTAAGGAGCCTTGCCTTCCGCGTAAGGAACCTCGTCCTCAATGTGAGGAACCTTGTCCTCAGCGTGAGGAACCTTGCCCTCAGCGTAAGGAGCCTTGTCTTCCGCGTGAGGAACTTCGTCCTCAATGTGAGGAACCTTGTCCTCAGCGTAAGGAACCTTGTCCTCAGTGTGAGGCACATTGTCCTCAGTGTGAGGTACCTTGTCCTGAGCATGAGGAACCTTATCCTCAGCGTGAGGAACCTTGTCCTCAGTGCGAGGCACCTTGTCCTCAGCGTGAGGAACCTTGTGCTCAGCGTGAGGAACCTTGTTCTCAGCGTGAGGAACCTTGTCCTCAGCGTGAGGAACCTTTTCCTCAGTGTGAGGTACCTTGTCCTCAATGTGAGGTACCTTGTCCTCAGCTTGCGGAACCTTCTCCTCAGCGTGATGTACCTTGTCCTCAGCCGTGAGGAACCTTGTCCTCGGCGTGAGGAACCTTGGTCTCAGCGTGAGGAACTTTGTCCTTAGCGTGAGGTACCTTGTCGTCAGCGTGAGAAACCTTGTCCTCAGCGTGAGCAACCTTGTCCTCAGCGTGAGGAACCTTGTCCTCAGCCTGATGAACCTTGTCCTCAGCATGAAGAACCATGTCCTCAGCGTGAGTAACTTTGTCCTCAGGGTGAGGTACCTTGTCCTCATTGTGAGGTACCTTCTCCTCAGTGTCAGGTAGCTTGTCCTCAGCTTGAGGAACCTTGTGCTCAGCGTGAGGAACCTCGTCCCCCGCTTGAGGAACCTTGTCCTAAGCGTGAGGAGCCTTGTCCTCAGCGTGAGGAACCTTGTCCTTTGCGTGAGGTACCTTGTCCTCAATCTGAGGTACCTTGTCTTCAGCTTGAGGAACCTTGTCCTCAGCGTGATGTACCTTGTCCTCAGCGTGAGGATCCTTGTCCTCAGCGTGAGGAACCTTCTCCTCAGCTTGAGGAACCTGGTCCTCAGCGTGAGGAACCTTGTCCTCAGCGTGAGGAACCTTGTCCTCAGCGTGAGGAACCTTTTCCTCAGCGTGAGGAACCTTGTCCTCAGCGTGAGGAACCTTGTCCTCAGCATGTTGGTCGAGACTTGACAGCGGTTGGGGCGCCATTATGATCGATGATCGTAGATCTTTGTAACCAAAAGATTGTGCGAATCTTCTGTTTTGTGAAAGACATTTTACAGTATACTCCAGCGCACGAAATTTGGACATCTTCGAAATTCTGTCTGAGATTTGTGAGGCAGCCAAAAAAACACGTATTAACATGTAACTGATCAACATGTTTTTGTGAGCTCCGTTTATTTTATATTTTTTTTACTCAATATCCACATTTAATCTTATCCACATTTTAATATGTTGATACACGATGGTGATACCTATCTTTGGACCGGTTCCTTGGCCGACTTAAAGTGCTTTGTTGACGAAATTTTAAATCTTAAAGGGAAGTGGAGCTCTCCAGAAGGCGAAGCGAAGCTGTTTTGTGCTACAAAGCCTGACTTTGTTATTAAATGGTTTGGCTGGCGGTCCCAGAAACTTGTGATTCAAGTAGACAGTGCTGAGAACTTTTTAACACAGACGTTTGAGAGCTTGGTGAACAAGAGTAAAGGAAACAAAGCTGATAGCAAGAATGGTACTGATGGAGTGATTGTTAGCGATGGCGACACAGCACATCCTGCTGTACTGGAGGTATGTAAATGTTCCTGCTCTGTTGATCTAGAGGGCTTGAAGCTTGAAATAACAATTTTAGAATCGCGATTATTTGCCGCAATTTCCAAAAATAAGCTTGAGTCAGATATTGATCTGCTCAGAGTTAAACAGAAAGAATCGGAAGCCGCTATAAGACGCCAAGACGATGTGATTTGTACTCTTAACGAAGAGAATCAATTCCTTAAAGCAAGGCTGTTGGCTCTTGAAGAGTCGTTTCTCAAGATAACTTATAATGTCAATAAAGATAAAGAACCTGGCTCATCAGTTTACAAAGCTAAAACTATTGACAAAGCGGCCGCTTTTCATGCCAGTGAACAATCTAACAAAAGTAACCTCAGCTCAATTAACACTGAATTACTTAATACCTCTCATGACAATAGTCTTGCTCGGCATAATAACAACGGACAATGCAATGCCGATGATTTGAATAATAATCAAATTGACCTTGCAAATGATGATGCTGTGTTTTCCTCAAAACAGCAGAATAAAAATAATACACACAAAGGCATCAATTCGAACTTGCAATCCGAATCGCAGCAGTCAACCAACATAGAAGGGAATAAACTTAGATATGATCTGTCCCCAAAAACCTCTCATGACAATAGCCGTATTAGTTACGATCCATCTCTAAAAACCTCTCATGACAATAGCCTTATTCGGCATAATGACAACAGCCAATGCAATGCCGACGATTTGAAGAATAATCACATTGACCTTACAAATGATGATGCCGTGCTTTTCCCACAACAGCAGAATAAAAATAATAAACATAAAGGCTTAAATTCGAACTTGAAATCGGTATCGCAGCAGTCAATTAACAGCGAAAGGGAAAAAAACCAAATACAATCCGTCTCTAAAATCCTCTGTCCCGTGCCCTTTTCTCATACGCCGTGGTAGATGTTTTAAAGGCGACCGATGCGACTTTAAACACCCAAAACCATCTGAAACACGGAAGTGCAATATACCATGTCCTTTTCTGCATAAAAGAGGGTACTGTCTGAAGAAAGAGATGTGTGATTTTTCCCACGACAAATTGATACGTAACTCATCCCCCATGCCCTATCCAGGCGATTATGCTTCTCCTGATTTTTTATCACACCGATTCACCAACCCATTTCCGCCGTACCAGAATTATTATTACCGAGAACCTTTGAGAAATCTCCGCCCATTGAATCCTTTAATGGAAATTCCAACCCCTATATCGTCACAATATCCAAATCCCTATTCTCCAGCCATACAGCCCCCAATG